GACAAATGAAATGACAAAAGTTTGGGTAGGGAGAGTCAGAGGCCCAGGGCCACACGACAGTCCCACCTGGCCCCTTTTCTGGATTCATCTGTAACAGGTTCCCAGGTGAAGGCCTGGGCAGACGTGCCGAGTGTGCACGGCAAACTGCTTCATTTCCCTCTGGGGAAGATGCAGCTCTGGTTTATCCTGCATCAAGCACCTCCTGGAACTTCTGTCCCCGCCACCCTCTCCCAACAGTGACAGTCACTGAACGGCCTCAGCACAGCCTTCCGGGGTGCTGCGTGCATCCACTGCAAAGCCAGGCGTCCTCTGAGAGCCAGTGTCTTCTCCACTGTCCACACCTGCGAGGCGCAGCAGAAGAAAAAGCATGCATGGGAGAGTGTCTCCATATTCTTCAACTTACCTTCTTAGTCCCAAGCTGCACTTCTCAGTGTCCTGTCCTCTCAGTACATGATCAGAGTTAAGATGACCAATGGTACAGGAGAACTGATCCATTCAGCAAGCGCATGCTGCAGGGCAGGCTCCCAGTTCACTTATCCATCCCTTCGCCCTCCTGCAAAGCAGTGCTGGTCTGCACAGCTAAAAGGTTACTATAGTGCTGTGTCCACGGCCATAATGCCACCACAGACTTCATATTGGTGCTAAAGTGGCGGTTTATAAACACCTAATGGCCTCAATACCCTGCCTTTTTTAACCAGGGTTAAGAGAGTCCAGCTTGCCCTCAAAAGTAGTGGATACAGATCGTGGGGACTGTTCAAAATTGCAAACTGGCCAGGCCCATGGGTTGCAGAAGTTTTAGAAAATATATTATTTTAGAGAGAACTAGTGACTAAAATTGTTTTCTCTTGCTCTGTTTCTCAACTGCAAATGACTGCCTTCAACTTCCTACCTAGGCTCCTACATCCCTCATCTCCTGCCTCTGTTCCTTTCTTTTGCTTTATACATTCCAAGAAGGATCCACAGATCCATAATGTCCAGAATTCCCTCGGTATTAAGAGACCACACAAGATCTCTTGGCCAGGAAAGCCAACCTACCCTGATGCAAACCCTGGCTTAGCTCAGGGGCAACAGCAACTACGGAACTTCTCTGTGCCTAAGTCTCTTCATCAGTAAAATAGGGGTGATAACAGTGGTAGTTACCACTCCCCCCATTGGGTTCTTGTGAGGATTAATTTAAGTTCAACACACACAACACTTTAAAACAATGCTTCATAATTAGTGTTAGTTGCTACTGTTGATTGAGCGTGTGCTATTGTACTAAGACCTATAACACTCAAGACCTCATTGAATGCTCACAGTGCCCCAATAATTTCTGAACCTCTTTTTCCAATGATGAAACTGACGCTGGCAAGGTTATTGACTTGAGAAAGTTCACTTAGCTAAGTGGCCAGTAAGGACCTCAGACTCAGTCAAATCCTTCTGATTCAAAACTGCTAGCCCAGTGCGCTCCTCACCTCCCTGTACAAATGCAGAGCATGTCCATGGCATGTTGGACCTAACACTGATGCTCTGTTAACCTGTTATATAAGACCTTATGCTGCCTTGATTTCTAGAAGCTTCTTCATTCTCAGCTCCCATAAAGGAGTGCTGCTGCGTCTGTGCATTTGTGCATTTGGAAGCCTCCCTCCTGCAGGAGAAGAATTCTTTGCCATACAGGGTGAAGTGGCCTCCAGGGTAGAAAATTATTTGAAAGTTGCTTCGCTCAGTCACTGTCTCCCTTCCAATTCACTTTCTTCCAAGTAGCTCAGCAGTAACAGGGTTGGGTCCTCACGTGGATGTCAATCCACCCTATGGAAGATGCAGAGCTCACCTGTGGCCACGGCGTAGCAAAACCCAGAAAGCTGTCCCCTGCGCGTAGCATGGCAGCCTCTTCACCTCTTTCTAGGCTTGGTTTTCAACGTGCCCGACATCTTTACCTGCCTTCTCTTCTAAGCTCTTCCCTCTTCTGCAGGGGCCACTGCTGGCTTGCAGCCATGGCCACCAGCATCACCATGTTCCCTGTGGACTGCTGCTCTGTCTTCTGCAAGTCCCCCAGTCCTCGCTGCCACACAGAGCATCCTGAAGCCAGAGTCCTTACTTGAGATGCTGCAGTTCTTGCTCTACTGTTGGGACAAAGCCACAGTCCCTGCCCTGGGGTCCAGCCTCAGCTCCTCACTGGGCTTTCTTCCCCCGCCCCCGTGCAGACTGGCTGTCATTTCAGCGGTGCCCGAGCATGTTCCCCAGCTCCTTGGAAGCCCAGCAGCCTTATTCTCTATTTTTCTCAGTGGGCTCCTGCAGAAAGGCCCTTGCTGGCCTCCCCGGCCGGGCCAGCCCTATAGTGCACTGTGCCCTCTCCTGCACAGCTGAGGCCACCTGTGCACATCCCATTTATGGATGGGGTTGGTCTTCCAGCTCCCGGAGACCCCCAGCCATAGCCAGCTGCTGACCCTTCTGTTCCCAGGGCCTGGCATGTCATAGGCACTCCCTGAGCAGTTACTGTAAAACCGAGGGCAGCCACTGTAACAACTGTAGTCATTACTGTAAAAATGAAGCTGGTGCCAGTTTTTCAGTGGCACTGCTATTTCTAGGCACCCTTTTTGGAGATGGCTCTTGGCCCTCTTGGTGTTCCCAAAGGGGAGTCAGCATTTCAGAACTACAGGTCCATGAGCTCCCCTGAACCTGCAGACTCCAGGCACTTTCTACAGCCAGAGTCACTATCGTGCAAAAGGCTGTGGCCTGACCTTCTCCCTGTGCCCCTGCAGTGTTTCCCATGTGGACTGGAAACTCAGACACCAAGGTGTCACTGTCACCTAGTGTATGAGCTTCAGAGCAAATCATGTTGGAATTGAGCAGGGTTGCACTAGGTTCAACTGGCAATCTTCCGTTCCCCTTAGAAGGTCTTGATCCTTAGCAAGATTTTTAATGGAAGGGTTGAAAATTAGCCGAGTCCCCCAGCACCTAACCAACTCTTCAAAATCAGAGTGGCCTTTCCTCCATTAATTTTGTAATGGCTTTAATACAAAGGGAACTTTACCCTTTTACTTAACTTCTGTGGAAAAGTTGATTCATTTATGCTCCCCTTTGGGCTATAGAGAGAACCAAGTTAAAACAATATAGTCCCCATTTATTGAGCACTCACTGTTTGCCAGACACTATGCAAAGTACATTCCAGGTACCCTCCCTAATCCTCCAGTTCCTATGTGAGATGCCCATACATTATCATTCCATTTTGTAGACAAGATGAAGGCTCGGAGAAGTTAAGTAATTTGTCAAATGTCACACAGCTCCTAAGTGCATGCCTACTCTCCAGTGCATGCACTTAGCCACCATGGTTTGCTGCTTCATCTTTCAAAGTGTTTCTATAGCTTGTAATCTACAAGGTATTTGGTATAAAATTACAAATCTACCCTTTCCCTTCTCCCCACCCCTAGCCTATAGCCAGTTTTTGTCATTCACTTGTTTGTTTTTGTGGCACAAGGGATTGAACTCAAGTGCACTGTACCATTGAACCACATCCCCAGCTTTTTTTTTTTTTTTTTTTTTTGAGACAGGGTCTCATAAGTTTCCCAGAAAGGTTGCCATCCTCCTGCCTCAGCTTTCTGAGTAGCTGGGATTACAGGTGTGCACCACTATGCCCGACTAGCCAGTTCAGTTTTTTAGTCTATTTAAAGTTTCATGTTTATGATGTAAATCAAAAACATGCCATAGGCACAATTGCATTGAATCTAGCCTAACAGTCACGTGAAAACTCTATTATCTATCAATGTATATTTTACTTTAAAAAAAAAGCCTTTCAATTTCATCTTAATAATCCCCTTTTAATATTCAATAATAGTGATCACAGCCTCGTGCCACGTTTTGAAAAGCCCTAGGCGTGTGCTCTCTGGCGTCGGTTTCTTCCTCCAAGTTGCGGTTTGCAGGGGGCGGATCCCTTAAATGGGGCGTTTCCCCGCCTACTGGGAAGGTTCAGCCAATCAGAGGCCCTGTGGGCCTTGGGGGTGGGGCTTGAGAAGGAGCCGAGGGCTTCCCCTCCGTGGCTCCAGTTCTGGCTCCGCCTTCCCCTGAGCAGGCGCCTCCCGCCTGCCTCTGCCATTCGCCAGGTGACCCCGGTCCCGTCCCTGGGTTGGGTTACTGCCCCATGGACCTTCCACCGCCTGGACACCTGGTTCTCGGGTTCAGTTTTCTCGGGTGTACCTAGGGCTCCCCGTTTTCCAGGTTGACGCTGATGGATGCTGCCGTATGCTGACTTGGGATTGCCATACTTTTTTTTTTTTAACTGTTTATGTTAGAGGGATGGAAGGTGGACCCCATGACTGGGTTAGAACCCCTTCATTAACAGCATCCAAACCCTTGCCTTCCCTGTGGCTGAGGTACGAGGGGAAAGCCCTGGCTGGAGTCTGGTGGTCCTGCTTCTGAGTCCACCTGGTGCAGTAGGGGCTCAGGGTTGCTCTGCTGCTCTCAGGTTTCACTCCTGCAGCCTAAACCCAATTCCTGGTTATGGTTGCAGTTGCAGTTTCTGTGGCGACCAGAGTCCCTCAAGGTCAGATGACAGATTTTGGGTGAACCAGGCCTGGCAATTCCATCTCCACAATGGAGAAAATAGAAAGAAAGAAAAGGAAAAAAAAAAAAAAAAACAGATAAGGCCTTTCTGATTCTGACCCAGGCAGTTGGTCTTTATTTGGGCAAACCATACTGAGAAAGCATTGAGCAAGAGTAAAATGACCACTTGGTTGCTCCCTCAATGAGTTCAACAGTGTTTCAAAGGTGATGATTAATCTGTGCATCCTAAATATAAAGCCAATAGGCAGAATGGACAGATGGCACTTGTCTCTTGTCTTAAATACAGTATCATCATCTTTGAACATTATTTAAAGCAACACCTTGTGCAGTATTTTGTGTGTGTGTGTGTGTGTGTGTGTGTGTGTGTATTTGGGTCCAGATGCTCTGGGTGTCTTAAATAACTTTAATTTACTGAAATAACCTTAATTTACTAAACCTCACTCCTCCTCCCCCACCCCCAGCCCTTTCTTTTCAGAAGACACATTTAGACAATCACCATTCACCTCCAATTCAAAAGATCTGCTGCCCAGTGAGTCTGTGCTTCACGGAAGAATATCCGCTCCAGGTATGGAACCAGAATTGACTTTGTTCTTCTATTGGTGGCTTAAGAACAGCTTTTCTGAAATGTGTGGATTTTCAGATATTTGAGCTAATGTGTTCTAGTTGTTTCCATGAAGGGAAGTTTTTGAAAAGAACATGAAACACCATTTAAACAGCCACAAATATTTATTAAAACAAGATGTGGACGGTGATGACCTCTTCATCTTTTCTTTAAGAGGTGATTGTTCTTACTTGTTGGTATTTTGTCCATACAGTGAATTTCTTTTTCTTTAAAATAGTAAAGTATAAACTGAAAATAATTTGTCTTACATGCTGTCAGGATGTCGGGCAAGCAGCAAGATAGGGAAGGACTGTGGTAAGAACATTAGTCCCCACTCTGGCTAGTCGTGACTCTGGCAGGGTGTGGGCTGCTACTGAGACCACTTTGGTTCCCATAGAAGCAACATAGCTGATCAAGAAAATCTTCACCACCCAGATTGCATCTCTCTTCCAAGACATGTATCTACATGTATCCATCCAAAGCTCTTGTTTGCTTTTTCAGCCATCCGTATGCATTTCTTACCCATTCTTCCTCTTTCATTTCTCCTTTCCAGAGTTTAAAAAAAAAAAAAAAAGTGGCACTGTCCTTTTATCTGCAGCATGGCCACCCCTTAGGGCTCATGTGTGAGCTCTCGGGGTTATTATGAAATGAGAACATGGGAGACCATTCACTGGAGTCCACAACCCCTCCCCACTTCTCACCCCAGTCTCATCACCAGCCTAGCAGCCAGGAACTTCTCAGCTGTCACTCCATCCAGCTGCTGACAGAATCTCAGAAGCACTGGCGAAGGGCGGAAGAGGATCCTTGTCCAGGAGAACAGAGTGGGAGACCAACCATATGTGGGTTAGGAAGAGCTCACCATGGGGTTGTTGGCTCCAGTAATCCCACAAGATAGAATCCAGGTGTTTTCCATCTCCCCAAGGAGGCTCATATCATAGGGCACTGGAGGATTGATGAATATTTGCGGTGTGCAGAGTCAGGTAACTTATATCTTCTAAAATATAGGCTTGGGGTACCATAGGTCAGTGGAAATGTTTGGACACACATTAAGGTGTTGTCATGGGGGATCCATCTCTTCTCATCTGCATGCATCTAGCCAGGTCCAGGTACCTACATGTTTTTTAGGCCTGACAGGCACAACTTTTCAATTCAACCCCCAGAGATAACATGCTTACACAAGAGCACATTACATAATAATAGCTAGTTCCAAAGGTGGAAAGAAATTCCACTTAGTTTATGTCTTCCTTCGCAAACAGGGCTCTTAGAACTACTGTTACTTCCCACAGTGTCATTTGGAATAGCCATCTCCCTGGTCCCAAAATTATTGCCCCGCTGTTAAGTTGATGGATTGTGACTTTCTAATGTCAAAATAACTGCCTAGGAATTGCCTGTTAGAGTGCTATGACCCATTCGGCCTGCATCCCATGATGTATGTACGAGCCCGAGCCCTGCGTCGCTTGCGTAGTGTTTGGCTTGGCTGTGTTTAAGAAGGGCTTATTGGTCAAGTTCAGAAGAGTGGTACTAGTATATGTTTAACTATGTGTAGAGGGTTTTTTTTTTTCTTTTTTTTTCTTTTTCCTGTGGAGCACTTTATAGACTTAGGTTACACATTAGATAAACTCACACTTAAGTGTTTAACTCTTATTTAGCTGGGGGTGGGAAGGGAGTAGGTCAGCCTAACTGGGATTTTTAAAAATGTAAATCCACCCTACTAAGGATGATCCATCCTTCTCGAGCAAAGCCTTCTTTAGGCAGAAGACAACCAAAATGATTACTACACATCTACATTTTGCTAAAATAAGCAACTCAATGGGGACTTTTGTTTCCTAATAGCAAGGTGAAAATGCTTTAGAAATAGAGCTGGAATTGGAAAATTTGTAAATGCTAGGGCAGCCTTATGATCATGAAATTCTCATAATCTGAACACAGTCTGGTAAGGAAAGCCTCAGTAATTTGGTCTAACTGTGGAGAAGACCAATGTGAACTAACCAAAATCTGCAATATGGAGACTTTTAAAGAAAAACATATTATTTAAAGTCTGGACAGTACAAATGGCCATGGTAAACCTACTACAGCTCCTTAATCCTGTAACACAATTCTGAAGTGAAAAAAAATAAAAAAAGCTTTTTGAATAAACTATTCTGTGACCAAACAGAATGGAAAGCTATTTATATATTACAACAAGGGAGAAATTCATATGTTTTGTTGGAGAAATATCAACATCCTTGATGAATGCTGCTCCAGGGCTGTTTGGATGCTACCTAAAATACGTTGGATGTACTGTATCATCATCCTGAAATCAGAGAAACTGTGAATCCCGAAATACATCTGGCCCTAAGGGGTCTCAGGTAGATATTGTGGACCTACATTTATCCAGTACTCTGCTAAATCCAATGCTGGGAAAAGGGAACTTGAAGCTACAGAGTTGAGAATCTCAAAGTCCTGGGGTAAAAGAGTCAGGAATATTTACAGAAAAATTTGGAAGACCATTGGAGATGGCTGAATGTTGGAGGGTGTGGTAAGAGGGCCCCAGTGAGAGTCTTCTAGTTCTGGGGTAGCATCATCAGTGAGGGCTGGGCTACAGAGGAGGAGGAGGGGGACAGGAAGTGGACAGGCCAAGTCAACTGGCTGAGGAGACTGCTCAGCTTTTCCGTAAGAGGGGTGAACCAGGGCATGGCAGTAGCTGTGCAGAAATGAAGAAGCCGGAAAGGAGACCACCAGGTAGATAATTTGTTGTTAGTATATAAATGAAAGCCATGGGATCCTTAGAAATCTTCTCCCAGCTAGTTTAAACATTGCCATTAAAATATTATTTCTACTCTTTATTTACTTAGCAAACCTCTTCTTTCTACAGAAAATACAAAGATAAATGTCAGCCCAGAGAATGATCTTAGGTTCCCAATTGGTAGAGACCATAAGTAATGAGGCTTACTGTGCCTGTGCCAGGCTAAGAAATCCCCTAGAAATCCCCCAGCAAATGCTGCAAACACTTGGATAGCGGTATATACTGCTGTAGTCTGGATTTGAAATGTACCCTCCTTCCCCAGAGGCTCATGTGTTCAAGGCTTGGTCCTCAGCATGGCACTGTTGTGTGTGTGTGTGGGGGGGGGCTTTAAGAGGTGGGGCCTAGTGGAAGGAAGTTAGATCATTGGGAACTTGCTCTTAAAGAGAATATTGGGACCCTTCTCTCTGTCTCTCTCTCTCTCTCTCTCTCCCCACCTCCCTCTCTCCCTCACGCTCTCTACTTCCTGGCAACCATGAGGTGAACAGGCCCTTCTGCCATATGTACTATACTGTCTCAGGCCCAAAGCAACCGGGCCCAGTGACATGGACCGAAGCCTCTGAAACTGTGAGCTTTTCCTAGCAATGGAAGGCTGACTCACCTGCTCATGGGATGAAATTCTCTTCCAGGTACCTTCCAAGTAAAGCCAGGGGGCAGGCAGGCAGGGGAGGTACCAAAGGGGGGAGAATCAGTTCAGGTGGAAGAAGTCTGAGCCTGAGGGGTCCCTGGTGGAGTCAGGTTTTGGGACCGGGTTTCAGCCTGATGGAGAAAGAGGGATGCAGCCAGAGGAAGAGCAGAGTAGGATAAGGGTGGTAGAACCGTGCGCTGTGAAGAAATCCAGAATAGCACAGTTAACTAGGCTTTTGCCTTTGGCAGATGGTATCCGAAACTCACAGCTGCCACCGAAGCTGAGAAACAGAATAAACAGAGAGCCTCACGGTGTCCTGGCCACGGTTGCTGCCAGTATTTCTAGACTGACTTTCCTAAGAGCCACAGAATGGTCAGGAGCCCAGACCTCACATGGTCACTTGTCTTAGCGGTGATATCAGGAGTCCGAGTGTGTGTGTGTGTGTGTGTGTGTGTGTGTGTGTGTGTTTTGCTGGGGATGGAACTCAGGGCCTCAAACATCCTAGGCAAGCGCTCTACCACTGAGCTACACGACCAACCCCAAAATCCTTATTAAACTGACAAGGTAACAACCACTGTCCCCTCCTGCTAGAGAGATAAGGGGACAAAACACCCTTCATGCCATGAATGGATTACTGAGTGCACCCTGGGCCGTGGTGTTGCTGGTGGCAATTTTGCAAAGGAAATAAGAGCTTTCCTGTTGTCAGTGAGAGAAATTACCGACCGTGTATAATTTAATGTACTTTGTTTAATTTATAGTGGTCTCACTTGTACAAGATTTACCTTAATAGAAGAAAGCTTCTGAAGTCAGGTGTTTTTCAGGGCACCTGGGGCTGTCCTGTATTAAAAATAGACCCATTAGAGTTGCCTCTGCAGCTATGTATACTTTGCCATTACCTTTGAATAAAGAAAGGTTATTAAGGTAACCATATAAGAGCACGTTTCCTTACAGCTTCTTGAAGCTTCAGTTCTGCATTATTATGATTTTGAAGTCACAGTATGTTTGCTCTGTATTAATCCAAAAAAACAAAAATACAACCAGAGTGGGTGTGAAGGGAAAAGTGGGTCTCCATGGGATTCTTTCACAGTGTTGGGAGCCGCTGGTGCTTCTGTTTGTTATTTCAGATGGAGCCTGAAGTTTAGATGATGGGAAACAAATCAGCAATTATATTTGTAAATCCATACCCCCATTCTTTTCTAACTTGCCTTAAAAAAATCTTTTTGTTATTATTTATATCCTACTACTAATAATAAAAACATTAGCACCCCTTCAAAAACAAGCTTATTTGGGTAGGCAGTGGAGAAACAGGGTTCCTTTCAGGATTAGGTGTGCCATATCGGGATTTGATGTTAAATCAAAAAACGAGTTTAGAATTGTCTGCCTTGTTCCCAGGCTGATTCATGATCCATTTTCCTCTCTCTACCCTGCCCAGCGATCTAATCCAAGTAGCACCATGTCATATACTTTTCTGAAATCTAAATAAATGATGCTTTGCATTCCAGTACCACCTGCAAGACCCCTCAGCCTGCTGTGGCCACATAGAAAAGACCATTT